AGGATGGTAGTGGATTCTTAGTTGGGTATGATACCCTTACAAACTTGGACTGGGCTTGGACACATTCTTGTTTGTTTTTTTTGGGGGGGGTTACATTCTTGAGTTTCCCTGTTCTAGGAGGTGTGATGTCACCATCTGTGCTTGCTCTCTAGCTTGGAGAGGGTCTGGGAGTGAAGGAGACACCCCAGCAAAAGTACCAGAGACTGCTGCATGAGGTCCAAGAGCTCACAGCTGAAGTTGAAAAAATCAAGGTGACTATAGACTCTCCTCTCGCCTTTTTGCTATGACTTACATAGCAGAGGAAGACCTCCCAGCAGGAGGAGAAAGATTCCCTAAGCTCCTCCCTAGGGGGCTGAGGTTTTCAGAGTTTGGGAATGGACGTGAATTTATAGTTAGTGCTGTAAGTGGGTAAGGAGCAGCCCAGTGACTTTCAGCCACAGCTATCTTTTAAGGGTCTTGATCTGTTTTTTTCCTTGACTCACTCTTACCACCCCTCACTGTCTATTTGTTTTCATACCAGACAACAGTGAAGGAATCAACCACTGAGGAGAAGCTGACCCCCGTGGTGCTGGCTAAACAGCTGGCTGCCCTGAAGCAGCAGCTGGTTGCTTCCCATCTGGAGAAACTGCTGGGACCAGATGCCGCAATCAACCTTACTGACCCCGATGGAGCTCTGGCTAAGTGGGTGCCAGACTTTGCTGGGAAATCATTGCTCATTGGGGTGTGGAGGGACTCCAGCCAGGTATTGACAGGGCTGCGAAGGGGGAGGTGGCCCGGCTGCTCCTTAATGCTGACCCTGAGGCAGAAGCAAGTGACTGGGCGGACCCACATCCTCAAGTCATGATAATAGTGCTGCTTTTTTGATCCAGGCGCCTACTGCTGCAGCTGGAAGCAACAAAAAACAGCAAAGGGACTGGTTCAGGGGGCAAGACCACCAGTGGGAGCCCCCCAGATAGCAGCCTGGTCACTTACGAACTGCATTCTCGGCCTGAGCAGGACAAGTTCTCTCAAGCTGCCAAAGTACGTGTGTGTGTGTGTAATGTTGGTTAAGGGGCCAGGGAAGACATGGCTCTGGAGACTTTCTTGCTGCCCTCCAAGGAATCACATCTGGGGAAAGGGTGCTGGGAATGCTTGATTCCTCTTGATGTCTCATTTAAGACTGTGATTAGTGCTGTGTTCCAGAGAAAGAAATCCCTTGGCAGAGTGGAGGGGAGGGGAGGGCACGCAGACCAGCAAAGAGCAGGATTGACCTCCCACTGCAGCAGGAGGGAGGGAGGTGGATGGCCAGTCTCCCCTCCTCCCTCCCCTAGGTGGCAGAACTCGAGAAGCGCCTGACGGAGCTGGAAGCCACTGTACGCTGTGATCAGGATGCTCAGGTCAGGTGCTCTCTTACACTTGTTCCGACCCTCACATCCTGAGCCCTAGGGTGCACTGCCTTCCACAGAATCTGGGGAGGAGTCAGGAACAGGTTCCAGTTACAGGAGCAGCCAGTAGTTGCCTGCTGGAACCAGAAAGGATGGGAGAAGGTGGTAATCACCTGGAGAGATGAGAGCCACTGACTTCTTTGCTTCTTTTCCCCATCAGAATCCCCTTTCAGCAGGTCTGCAGGGAGCCTGCCTCATGGTGAGTGTAAAAGAAACTGGAGTGTTTGGATGACAGAGGGGATATCATGATTCGGTTTGCTTAGAAAACTGTTTTTGGATCTGTAGCTGTTTATTCATTACCCTCAGTGGAGTATGAGGTGGCCTCCTCTAGTCTGATTCTGTCTGCTTCATGACACTGTCCTGACCCGCCCCCAGGATACTGTGGAGCTGCTGCAGGCGAAGGTGGGCGCGCTGGACCTCGCGGTTTTGGACCAGGTGGAGGCTCGGTTACAGGTAATGAGTGGAGGCAAATTGGATCACAGGCAGCTCGTGACTTCGGAAGGCCTTGATGCCCTTACTATGGACCTTAAAATCTGTGCTTTCAGAGCGTGCTGGGAAAAGTGAATGAAATTGCCAAGCATAAAGCTTCTGTAGAGGATGCAGATACACAAAGCAAGGTCAGGAGGAGATCGCCCCTCCTATCCGCACACCCTCGCGCTCACAGCTGAGCGCGGGCAGCGCTTCCCTGTCCGCACGCGCGCTTGCCGGGGCCCTTGTCCCAGCCCAAGGGTGTGTGTGGCTGAAGGCTGGCGCCTGCCGCCCCTCCAGGTGCACCAGCTATATGAGACCATGCAGCGCTGGAACCCCATCGCCACCTCCCTTCCTGAGCTGGTGCAGAGACTCGTCACCATCAAGCAGCTGCATGAGCAAGGTGGGCGGCCAGCCCCAAGGGGCGTCAGGAGGCACGAAAGTGAGCAGCCCTGCCCCCCTGGCCCTGGTCTTGGATTCTGACGCCATGCCTGCCGTTCTGGCCTTTCACAGCCATGCAGTTTGGCCAGCTTCTGACACACTTGGACACCACGCAGCAGATGATCGCGTGTTCCCTCAAGGACAGCGCCGCCCTCCTGACTCAGGTGAGCGCTCCTCTGCTGGTCGGCTGCCTCCCCTCCCCAGCGCGCACAGGCAAGGTCCGCCAGCCTCAGCTCCGGAGGGTCCTGCCTCGGCCCGCGTGGTGCGGCAGGAGTTTGGTGTGAGTCTCCATACGGTTTCTCAGTTGCCATGAGACGCCTGACAACTTACTTAACCTGTGACCCTCCATCTCACCATCTGGCAGATTGTACCTGCTTCCGAGTTACATGGCTTAGAGGAAGTAGTGTGAGTGAATGGGTAAGAGCTCAGGAAGCCTCCATTCTTCCTATAAGACCTACCTTTTCTCTCTGTAGTCTCAGCTGGGTTTATCCTCCCTGGGTCCTCAACCAGATGTTCCTGAGCACAGCACACTAGACAGAACATGGGCATTGAAGTCTGGAGCCGGGCTCCCACCTGGTTTTGCCATTTTCTTCCTGACGCTGAGCGTCATTTTCTAAGCAGTGCCCAGCACATAGCAAGTCCTCAGTTTCTGGTGGAGGCACTGTTCTCAGTGCTGAGGGAAGCACTACAGTTGGGAGTCTGGTATCCCAGCACTGTCAAGATAAAGTGCTCGGCATATGTTCTTCCTCCAGAGCAGTTTTCTAAAATTTTGGACGAGTGAAACCCTTACTTCAACAAAATCCTATTTTCCCCTCAGTACATAAAACAGATCAAAGAACTGTTCTGGTTAAAATCAGGATGGGAATTCTTAAGAGGCCTGCCTGTTTAGCAGATCCCATACTAGGTCCATGGTGCTCCAAGTCCCCTTCCCATTCTGGGGCCCACAAGCTGTTTCCGTTTCTTTTTTCTAATTTGGCTCTGTTGTGTGGCTTGTGGGATCTTAGTTCCCCAACCAGGGACTGAACCTGGGCCCCAGCAGTGAACGTGCAGAGTTCTAACCACTGGACCACCAGGGAATTCTCCTCCATGTCTTCTGTCTTCTCCAAGAGAACGCTTCCGGTCCTCACCCAGGTTAGCGCCTGAACCTGACAGTAAAGCAGCTCTCTCGCCTTCCAGGTGCAGACGACGATGCGTGAGAACCTGTCCACAATTGAGGGGAACTTTGCCAGCATTGACGAACGGATGAAGAAACTGGGAAAGTGAGCAGCTCTGGGTGACGGAGGACGGGGTAACCCCTGCCCCGTCGCGCTCCATGATACCTTACACAGGGTTTCCCCTTGATCCTAACTCTTGCGTCCCGTTTGACACTGGGGCAAGGGCTTCTTGCATGTGGGGCTTAAACCCCCTCCTCTGAAGAGTAGTGGAAGCTGGGGATATTAAATGGTGGTCTCCCCTTAGGCCACAGGGATGAGGACGTGGCCCAGCCACGTGCCAGCTCCTGCCCAAAATGGCTTTGCCTGGTGTGGGGGAGGACTGGGTCCTGTCCTCCAGCACAGCTTCTGTGGCTGACTGTAACACTGTACAACTGTTTCTGACCATTAAATGCTGTTGTACTCTGTGTGGCCTCTGCTGTTTCCTGGGGAAGAGGCAGCACTGAGAGAAACATACACAGCCAAACAGACAGTCTGAGCACTCTCTACCACAGAAGGAGGATTTAAATTATAATCTGTTCTTACAAAAGAACTAAGGAAAAAATGAGGACAGAGTCAGAGCCAGAGTTTCAAAATATTCTCATCTGTTAAATTAAGAGTGTCTCCCATAGAAAAGCAGTGGAGGCCCCACAGGGCAAGTACAAAACAGAATTAAAACTCCCAAGGGTCTTGTCTTTACAAAAGAAAAGGCAGGAGGCAGCCCCTGGACAGCTGGTCATGCTGGCCGCTCCGGTTGGACCATGTTGCATAATCCTCAGTCGCGTCGTCACAACGTCTCTGAGCGTTTTGATGGGGGAGAAGGGGCAGTGTAGTGTGTGTGGGAGGAGAGACCCAGAGGGCGCTCTGCCCCCTTACCCCCTCTTCATATCCCAGAGGAAAGTGGAGGGAAGCTGGCTACACCTTGAAATGAGGCTATGTGTTTCAAACCTGGGGACAGGGGTAACAGGGGGATCTGTGCTTTGAGCAACCTGAGCCAGAGGCAGAGGGGTGTTGGCAGGGGCGAGGGGAGGACGCATGATGCTTATTGCTTTGTACCTTTCGTTGGGAAGGAGGGCAGCAGCCAACAGTAGCTCACAGGTTTGTAAACTGAGCCTGCTGGCTTCAGGAAGGGAGGCAGTGAAGTCGAATTAAATATAAAAGAGTCATTTGTGCAAAAATAACTTAAACAAATAAAAGACCTGGGGGAGGGGGTTTTCCCCTTAGCCTGGTGGGGAGAGGGCCATATACCACCCCCCCAGGCCTTTTCAGTGACATGGCTTTGGGGGGGAGGGGGTGAGCTTCCCTACCCCCTGCAATGGCTCAGGATGGGACTGTGGGGGAAGGGGTTGCATTTGTGCTCTGAGTGGGGAGGACTGCCCCCACCCACTGTCCACAGGTGCAGGTGGCTGGCGGGGCTCCCGAGGCTCAGCACTCAGCTCTCCCCAGCCAGGGTCAGCTCCAGCTCCAGGTATGGCTGCTATGGGGCCAGTTTCCTCCTCTTGTTTTTGGCAGGACGGCCAGGGCGGGCCCGGGGAGGCAGAGGGACAGCCGCCTACACAAGAGGGGAAGTCGAAAGAAGTGATCAAACAGCTGGGTATCAGGAAGTCCTTTATTTTCTCCCCACTCCCGCTAACCACCTTCTCCTGCCTCATCCTTTATGTGCACTCCCACCCACCGACGCAGTGACACACACTTACGCGGGGTGTGGGGCTGGGGTCCAAGGTAATGTCCTGGCGGGAGCTGTTGCTGTTCCGGGTTGGGCTGCAATGAGGGCACAGGTGGATCAGGAACACCTCCCCGAGCGCCAGGGGAATTTCAGAGTTTGGGTGGGAAACTTTCTACATGTGGATAGTATAGGCATGATATCCTTATTCATATTCAAGTAAGTACTTTTCGAAAGCCAAATCACTTTTAACTATTGCTATAAACCCAACAAGAAGCCGGAAAAAGCCAGTATACTCACTTGTATTTTCTCCTGCGGCCACGACGAGACTTTCTGACTACCCCTGGGGATACCTGAGAAAAGATGGACTGTGTGTAGGAAAAGGCACCTTGGCCTCAACCTTTCCTCAGGGCCTTTGTGCCCGGACAACCATTGCTTAATCTCCACTCACCTTAAGGTCCTCAGAATGGGGCCCAGGAGGGGATGGATCCTTGGGCTCAGCACCCCCTTCAGCCAGCTCCCCATTATGCTGCCAGTGGTGGGTCCTTCTTGGGGACCGTTCCATTTGTCCATTGAAGCCACCACGTGCCCCCCACTTGAGGGCCAGTCGGCCAGGCTCCCGCCGGCTGCCAGGCTTTCGACCCCGGCCTGGCCTGGCCTCGCCATTAATGCCCCTGAGTCCCCCTCCCCCCCTCCGGCCCCGTCGCCCTGACCCCCTCCCAGTGAGCAGCTCGGGGACTGGGGGATCGGCAGAGCTGTGGGGTGGGGCTAAGGCACTGAGGGGAGGCCGGGCAGGCTCCGGCTCCAGGGCTGAGGCGGGGCTCTCAGGGGGCAGACAGGGGGCTTCTGGCTGCTCTGGAGGGATCTGCAGACAAAACACACTTCTGTCAGTTTCAAACGCAGTTCCAGCTACTTTAACTTGAAATGTCTGTATTTCCAGTTTGGGAAAAAAATTCTCTCCCTCACACACACACCCATCCCCTCACCTGGAGACTCTGTAGCAGGCAGGCTAGGGGACTAGAAGCCTCTGAGAGGGGTGGAGGAGCTCCCCCCCCAGGGAGGAGCTGCAGCCCCAACTGGCCAGAGAGAAGAGGGCCAGGAGGCTGCAACAGGCTGGGGAGGGTTCCAGGGCTGCTGGTCAGCGAGGACAGGTCACCTGTTAAGGAAAGGTAAAATCAAGGGTCTCCCTGGGCAAACCAACTAGGCTGAGCAGACCCTATTCTTTTATTTTTTTTTTTTTGGTTTAGACCCTGTTCTTTTAGGCTTGACTCAAGTGGTCACAGACTTTCTTCCCTAATTCGTCTAGTCTCTTCTCCCAGTTTTTCTGCGTCCTTCCTTCTCTCCCACGCCAGAGTCTTCCCTCAGACTCACCCAGCAGGCTGGCGCTCAGCAGAGGACTGAGGAGCTGAGGGGGTCTCCCTGAGTTGGAGGGGGCCTTGCCCAGAGAGGAGGCCCCCGGGTCAGTAGTTGCCGTGGTGACACTGGAGGTAGGTGGTCCAGGTTGGGGGGCGCTCAGGACACAGGGCTGAGGAGAGAAAACGGCTGTAACGTCTACATGTGTAAAGTATTCAGTAAGTTTATAGTACTTTCACATATACAGTCTCACCGAAGCCCCACTGAAGCAGGCCATGCTTATTAAATGCAGACCCAGTTCTTACCGTCCATCCTACCCCCAGCTAAGAACTAAGCCCTCCTCAAAGGCCCTAAGGAAGAGCTCAGACATCAAACTGAAAGCCTTTGAGTCCCAGCTCCCATCTCTGATTCTACCTCTTGTTCTGTCCCACCCACTCACCCTCTATCCTCACCTGGGGGGGCGTCCCCGAGGGGGGGTCCAGGCTGGCAGCCAGCAGCGCAGAATTTAAAGCTATGAGGGTGGGGGGAGCTGAAAGTGGGGGGAACAGCAGGGGGGGCAGGTCTCCCAAACCTGAAAATGTCTCCCCACTTGGACCCCCGGCTCCCTCTGCAGATCCCTCCCCGTCCCCAGCTGTGGGGCCCAGGGCCAACAAGGGCAGGAAAGAGGCAAGGAGGTTGCTAGGAGGTGCAGAAGGGGGTGGAAGAAGGTCTGAGGGGGGTGGTGGAAGCAGGGAAGCCACCAAAAGTGAAGGCCCTTCGGGCTCACCTGGGGCTAGGGGAGGGCCAGGTCCCCCTGGTGGGGGAAGCAGGGGCTCAGGGGGAGGTTGTCCCCCTCCCCCAGCCAGCACGCCAAATAAACTGTGGCTAAGCAATGGAGAAGGTGGAGGCTGTCCCAGACTCAGAGGGAGGGGCAAGGTCCCTAGCATCCCGGGGAAGCCGGCTCCACTCAGCGCCAGGCCCTGCTCGGGACTGGGGAAAGGGAAAGCCTCCCCACCAGCCAGGGGAGGCAGAGGGCCGGCTGGGCCGGCCCCCATCCCAAGCGCTTCAGATGGGCTTTGAAGCACAGGGCTGGGGACTAGGGGGGCTTTGGAGGCAGCTGGTGGGGCAGGGGCACCTGCAAAGAAAAAGAGAGGTTCAGCTCTAGAGAGACCCTTTCTCCCAGTGTCTAAAGAATCCAAACTCCCTGCCCCCCAACCCAGAAAACCGCTACAGAGCTCTCAAGTTCTCCCTGCAGTGTCTCGGCGGTCTCTGAACCCGAAGGTTGGGAGGGCTCTGGTGCACTCACGTACCTGGCACACTGCTGAGGCTGCCACTGGTGGTCCCAGGGAGGGCAGGCGGGATGGGGTGCGTGGGCTGGGGAGAGCTCCCTGAGGAGAGGGTGGGGGGAGGAGGAAGGTGTGCATCTGACCCCAAAAGGTTAAAGCTTCCATCAGAGTGGGAAGGGCCAGGGGTGGGGAGTCCCAGCAGGGACAGCACAGAAGGGAGAATCGGTTGGGATGGCTCCGGGAGAGGAAAAGACTGGGGGGTGGGAGCAGGGGCCCGAGGACGGCTCCGCCTAGGGGCTTGAGGGCCCCCCCCTTCCAGCAATCGCAACACAGTCGGGGGTCGGCGGGGACGACGCTGAGAGGGACGGGGCAGTGAGGAGTGGGAAGCTGAGGGTGCCTGGGCACGGGGCCTTCGGCCCTGTAAAGTGCTGGGAGGGGGGAGCTGGGGGTGCTGTGCCTTGGCCGCTGCAGAGAGTAGGCTGCTAGCAAGAAAGGGGGGTGCCCCAGGCCCCTCCACCGTGGGGGCCCCTCCTAGGGGCCCCAGGACCAGGGGCAGGTGCATAGTGGCTGAAGACACTGGTGGCTGAGTGGCAGGACCAGAGGGGCCAGGGGGACCAGGGAGATTATTGCTTGGGGGCAGGGGAGGGGGTGTTAAGGCATCACTACAATGGAAGAGAGGAGGGTCCGAAGGTGGTGAGGAGGAGGCATGGGGGGCTGGAGGAGAGCCCAGGTCAGGGGGCACCAGGCTGGATCGGAGAGCAGCTCCCCAGCTGTATGAGGGGGCGTTGAGGCTGATAGCAGGTGGAGGAGGTGCAGCTGGGGAGGGGGCATTGCCCCGCGGGAGGAAACAAGGGCTGCCGCTGCCTCCAGAGGGGACGGGGTCAGGAAGCCTTGGCTGTGGGAAGAGCCCCCCAGGGCCTGCGAGAGGGGGGAAAGCCTGCGGAACTGAAGCTGGTTCTGGGGGGAGGGGGCCAGGACCCCCATTGAGTGGAGTTGTAGGAGGGACTCGGCAAGGAGGGCGGGCAGAGGGAGGCCCTGGGGACACAGTGTGGAACATTTGGGGGCTCGCTCCCTCTCCTGCAATAAATGAGAAATGAAGGATCAGCCTGTGGCTCCCCTTCCAAGGACTGTGTCTCTTCCATGCCTCCCCCCAGGAACTCCCAGCTTTCCTGGGCGCCCCCTCACCAAGCAGTTCCCCGCCCCACCCCTCTGCAGAGCCCCTCCCACCAGCCGTCTCGCGGGCCCCTAAGTCTCCCCCAGTATGGAAAAGTGCAGAAAGTGCAGAACACGCACCCGGAGAAGAGTGTGAGCAGGTGGTCTCCATGCTGCGGTATAGAGTCGCCATGGCAACAGCTTTCCGCCGGTGGTTGCACAGCTTGGTCATGTCCTCCTCTGATGCTGGCCCCACCCCAGCCCCGCCCGGGGTCACCGGGGCCAAAGGGTCAAAGTTGAAAACCTGTAAGGTAGAAGGCACAGACAAGGACCCTGAGGGAGCAGAATCTGAGCAGAGCAACCTCGGTCTGCCGGCACTGAGTCTGACAGCCGCACCCTCACCACTCTGACCTTGGGGACGTTGAGTGGACACTCCAGACCGCACTTGCAGGTCCCATCGCTGAGGAGGTAGCTCCGGGTTTGCTCCAAGGAAGACAGCTCTGTGCCACTTGGACTGGGAGAGGACAGGGTCAGGGTGTGAGGTTAGGTAGCACTGAACTGGAAGGCACTCTGAAAGAACAGTTCAGAGACCTCCCAGGAAAGGCAGAGTGAGGAGGAGACGGATGGCAGAACAAGTGCACAGGACCGGAGGCACGGGGGGCAGAAAGGCTGAGGAAGGAAGGGGAGCAGACAGCAACAGGGCACCAGCGGTCTGGGCTCTGAGAGAAGGGAATGGAAGAGAGGAAACTCAGGCAGCTGAAGGGCCTGGGGACAGAAGCCGGGGAACTCTGGGGAGCCGCACCTGATATAGAGCACAGCGCCCTCTCGAACACAGCGCTGCCAGCCGACGGGGACAGACGTGGCCACAGGGCCCCCAGCACTGTCTGCTCCGCTGGTCTCATTGCCCCCATTCATTGTGTGTAATCAGCTCCCACGCGCCTGGTAACACATTCACACAGCGTTAGCAGGATTACACTGGGCTGGGTACCTGAGGGGGGACTCCCGCAAGGCAAAGGTTGTGGGGAGACTCCAGGGAAACCCTCAGAGAGCTGGGAGAGAGAATGAGGGGGAACCTTCTGCCAGCCCACCACGGCTACCTGAACATGTCTGCAAACATTGTGGGGTCCAGTCTAAAGCCGGGGCCGCCAGCTTAGCCCACACCTGCAACACAGGAGAGAGAAAGGACAGTCAGGAATCTGCCCAACCCACTAAAGCACCACAGACCAGGATACTCTCAAGGGAAAGATCCTTAATAACAGGAGGTAAGTACCCTGAAAGATCCCGGGGATCTGGTGGCTGAGTCCACAACCATCCTGTCCACGTTCAGTCCCTAGGGACCAGAGGGTCAAAGCCACAACTCTGAGGGACTGGGGAACCACAGCCCAATCCCTAGACATATAAAGGGCAAGGCCCCCTCATCCCACCAAGGACAGAAACCTTCAGCCAGGAGTGCGGGTTAATTCCCATAATCTCTAGGAAGTTTCCCAGAGAGGCTGGCCGCTGCTGTTCCCTCGCCCTCAGGAAGATCATATAAAAAGTATGGACTGCCCCGCAGATCACCAGGCAACTGCGCGCCGGGGTGGTACCAGCGTGACTCCCCCATGGCCTGGCTGCACTAGACAATCACTGATCTAGTTCACCTGGGTCTTCTTAAGAAACGTTGGAATCACAGTTCTGTCTTCTCCCACTATTCTCAGAAGCTCCGGATTTTCCCCCAAGCCTAAGGCAAGAAGAATCAGCACCTCCTGTCCCACTGGCTTCAGTTTAGCTCCAAGAGGGATTCTCCTCTGATATATATGGGGACGCCCCACAAACCTGCAAGTATTCTCTCCAACCCCACCATCGCTCCCACCCCACACTGGCGGCTTCTAAACTTTCCCTCTCATAACAAGGCGCCCTGTCACCCAGCCTGCTTCCCTCAGCCTGGGGAGGAGGGGAAGGCGCACGAAGTAGGAAGGAACTTGGGGAGAGGGCGGGCGGAGGGTGGGCGAAGCACTAGGGGAGGGAGGTGAAGAAGGCAAAAGTCAAGCAGTGGGAGAGAGAGACGGTGGGAGCAGGTGAGGGCGGGGGAGCCGGGATGGGGCCAGGGAGAGGGGCCGAGAGGACGCGGAGGGGGCAGAGGGTAGGGGACAGGAGGGGAGGGGGAGGGGCGAGGTGGGGGGGGCCGGGCCCTGCACTCACCGCGGCCCATGGTTCGGCCGGCCCCGCCCTGCGCAGTCGCGGCCCAGAGGGTGAGTGGGAGGGAGTGGGAGGAGGGTCGGTGGAGCCCGAGCCTCCGGTACAGCCCCGGCCGGTCCTAGCAGGAAGCGCCGCCGCCGCTGCCGCGGATCACCGAGCGGCCTCCCGCGCATGCGCCATGGGGGCCAGGGGCAGCCCTGGGGATTCCGTTCCCAGAAGGCACCGCGCAGGCTGCTGCCGCCGCCGCCGCCGTCGCTGCCGCCGCCGCCGCCGCCGCCGCCGCCGCCACCGCCGCAGCCGCCGCCGCTGCCCGGACGGGAGAGGGGCGGGGCCGGGCCCCCGCCCAGCGGACAACGACGAGCCAACAGGAGGGGCCGCAGTGCGCATGCGGGAGCGCGCCTACCCCTCCCCCACAACCCCCCATTAATCCCCAAGAGAACAAACACCCCACGCGGGGGCCACCCCCCGCCCTCCGCGGAAGGATCCGAGCCTCTTCCCAGGCCACTGGCGGCCAATCCCAGCCCTCCCCGGGGAGGGGCCCCTTCCAAAGCCACAATCTGTCGGGGGAGCCAGGAATGCCAGGTCCAGGAGGGGCCGGCCCCAAAGGATGAAAGTCGCGACTTGCCCTGCCCCGCCCCAAAGGCTTCCCGGGTAGTGTGCTGGGACTTGACCCGCCTCCCCAGGTCAACACGTCAAAACACGACCCCGGCCTGTCAAGTCACATGACCTCTGCCTGTCACTGACAACCTGGTCCTGTCTTTGGGCCAGGAGAGACCATCTGGTCCAAGCCACCCCCACCCCCATTTACAGAAGGAGAAATGGGAGCTCTGGAGCAGTGGTGCAGGCCTGGCCAAGGACCTGTCACCGGTCACGCCACCGCCTGTACTTGCCATCCAGCCACAACTGGCGTTGTGACAGTTTCTTAGGACAAACTCTGGCTGCCCCCATGAGGACATGACAGGATGTGTAACAGGCCACCACATGGCCTTCGTTTTCTACCTAATGGCACTTGAAATATAGTTTGCATTTTCCACCGTGCTTTTCACTTGTGTTCAAGCTGCTTCCAAGTTCGTAATAATCTCATTTTACTTCCAGCACGCGATCTTTTATTTACGAACAAGAACGGTGAAGCGCGGCGAGACTAAGTAACTGGCCTAGGATCCCTGGGCAAGTGAGGGACCGCTGAGGCTGGAATCTGGGCTCCTGACAACCCAGTCCCAGGCATTCTTGCGCTCACGTGCACGCAATGTTCCAGGCAACAAGGCTCTACTGGAGACCAAACACCTAAGGCAGGACGCCTGAAGCCCAGATCCCCTCAGCAGGGAGTCACAGGACCTGCAGGTCCGATTCACTGAAAAGGGCGGGCCTGGTCTTAGCCGAAGGGCACCAGAGCACCGCTGGGGGGAGATGATTAGACGAAACAGTGGGATCGGGGCCACCCGGCAAAGAACAGGAATTCTGGCATGCCGAGGGCTCATCAGAAACTTTACAAAGATAAAAGTTTAAGGGTGCCCTTCAGAGAAGAGCTGAAAATGACTACCAAGGGGCGTCAAGCTCCTTGGCTTATTTTGAGAGAAGACCCCTTTAAGAAGACTCAATGCAAACAATCCTGGTGGATGAACGCAAATTTTCAAAGGTGGGAGGTTTAAAAGACCTGGTGTCCGTTAGCAGGGAGGGGATCAGGAGCAAGAAAAATGGGAGTTTCTTTTGGTGGAGATAAAACGGAGGCTAAAGTCAGATGGACGGAACAACAGCTCTGGAGGGAGACAAGCTGCAGTGAGCCTTCAATCCGCAGCCTAGGGGCGACCACAGTTGAAGCCGTTGGGGCCGTTGGGTACCGGGAGCTGGCGCCCCGCCCTCTCTCCTCTCCCCCACCCCCCCTGCACTTCCCACCACCCTAGTAGTCCCCTGCGCGTGCGCGCGCAGATACCGGTTGCCAAACATTGCATCATCCCCGCCCCCCTTGCCTCCCCTCCCCCTCCAGCTCTCCCCTCCGCGCGCGCGCATGACTCACTCACCTCCTCCGCGAAGCCTCGTGACCCAAAGCCACTTCCGGGTCCAACACTAAGTCGACCCCCAAGCGGGAGGGAGCGACGGGGGCGGTGCCGTGGGGCTCCTGAGTGGCGGATGTGAGGGACGAGGCGGGGCCAACGCCGGCGTGCCGCTTCCTGATTGGCCGGCCTCTGGACCCGCCTAGAGAGGAGGGCAAGGCCCTGTTAAAAGATCTCAGCTCTGAGGATCGAGGTCAGAGGCTCGAGTCTAAGGCATAGAGTGTATCATGTTGAAGATGAGCGGGTGGCAGCGACAGAGCCAAAATCAAAGCCGGAACCTGAGGAGAGAGGCGAGTACTGATTCTCCATCTACCTTTTACCCTCCCATCCTCGCGAACACGAGTTGTCCCCTTAAAGTTAGGGCATCCGCTCCTATGGGTGTAGCCCCACCCCCTCCGCAAGGGGGAGAAGTGACAGTCCCGGGGCGGGATGAGGAGAATCCTTTATTCGAAAGTAGCGCTTCCGAGACAGACACCCCGTCCTTCACACGACCGCGCCGGCCTACCCCTGCCCGGAGCACCGGCCCGGATCTGCGCTGTTAGGCGACCGGGCCCCAGCTAGGAAGATTTAATCTCCCGTTGCTGACCCTGAGCCTCCTTGTTAGGCCTGTCCGGTGGGAGGCGGGGCAGCGAGACACACCCCCGAAGAGCCTGGTGACCCAGTGGTTCGGACCGCTGCAGCCGCACTGCCACCGGCGGCCCTCCCCCTGCCCTCCCCTGTCTCGGCCTCAGCGTCTCAGGGCCAGCGTAGCCACGTCAGTAGCTGGGCTTCTGGACCTCCGCAGGACGTTCTTTCCGCACCCTTGCAGAGAACAGAAAATCTTAGGCCAGCACAAGTCTTCGGGAAGAGGGGTGTCGATGGACAGGGAACGGAGATGAGTTTTCCTTTCCCCAAAGGCCTCAAGACTCCTACTCAGGAGAGCATCTTGGATCTTTTAAGTGTGGGAAGCCACTTGGGGTCTCCCAAGTGGGTTGCCCTTCCCCTAGGATTGGTACATGCCTCTTTCCCCTTGTCCTATCTCCCAGCTAATCAATGTGTAACCATTGCATCAGGCTAGCCCCCTGTTTGGTTCTGCAGCCCTCTGGCCTGGGGCTCCACTGCTGATGAAAGCCTTGTCCCACACACGGGAAGGCAAGAAGGGTTCCCCAGGGAGGACAGCCCTGCAGAGAAAGACTCAGGACGATATTGCATCTGCAGTCCCCAGGGGCAGGCAGCTGCTGCTCTGAGCTCCATCCTCCTGCCCCTGTGAGAGATTGGGGAGAATTTATCCATTCATCGCTAATACTTAACCAGACCTACTGTGTGCCATGCAGCTTGGTGCCCAGCATTTATCCACAAACAAGAGAAAAAAATGTCTGCTGTCTCAGAGCTTACATTGCAGTGGGAAGAGGCATACAGTAAGCAAATACGTAAAGTGCCACAGAAAACATTAAAAGATGGAAGGGTAGAGAATGCTGAGTGGAGGTTACAGTTTACACTGGGAGGTTAGGGATTCCTTCACTGAGGTGATATTTAAATGAAAGACTTATGTGGGAGGAGAGAGCTTTCCAGAAGGAGTAGCAGGAGCAGAAGTCCTAAGGTGGGAGCATGTATAGTATCTTTAGGGATCAAGAGGCCAGTTGGCTGGACTAGAGTGAGCAAGAGCTGGGGAGGTCAATGGGAAAGACAAGGCAAGGAAGGAGCAGATTGTGGAGGGCCTTTTAAGCCATTTAAAGGACTTTAGCCTTTAATATGTGTGAGATTAGGTTTTAAACAGGAATGACACACCCTGCCTTTAGTTTTAAAAGGTTCACTTTGGCTGCTGTTGTGAATAGACTCCAGGAGGGTTGGTTGCAGGAGCAGAAACAGACCTTCTGCAGTCACCTAGGAGAGAGGAGAGTAACTTTAATCTAGATTAGAAAAAATGGAATTGGTGAGAAGTGTTTAGATTCTGGGGTTTTGAAGAATGAGTTTAAGTTTTGCTGTTGGTTTGGACTGGATTGTGGGGTATGAGAGGAGAGGAATCAAGGATGATACCAAGGTTTTTGGCTCAAGTGACGAGAGTTGCTGTATCCTGAGATGGGAAAGACCTTGGTGGGGGAAGATTAGCCAGAGTTTGTCTTGGGATATATTAAGTCTGAGATGCATATCAGATATCCAGGAGGAGGTCCCAGGAGAGGTCTAGACTGAAAATACACATTTGAAGGTGGTCAGTGTGGGAATAGAATTAGGAAAAGGCCACTTGAATTGTTCCCGTCCCTGTAGTCCAGTCCTTACCCTGGCAGATATGAAGACTGCCTTGAATTTAGAAAAAGCTGAGTTGGCCAGGATTTTGCTATTATGTAATCAAGACTACAAATGTCAGCAACTAAAAATAAAGGAAGTCAGGCTCTTCTCTGTCCTTGGAAATGGCTACAGAGACTGATAACTATCAATAGGAAGCAAGTAAGGACCAGTAGGAAGCTGGAGGTAAAAAGAACCTTTCTCCACCCTTCCAAAAACGACTAATATTTATCTTTGATCCCCACAGTGTTCCAGAAGGAAGTGTATCTTCATACATCACCACACCTGAAAGCAGGTAAGTTTAACTGACCGTTTCCCCAAACCAGCTCCTAAGAGTTGCTGCTTATGAAATTATGAAAGCACCTAGAGAAGACAGGAGAGGAGGGTTGGAATCTGAGCAGGTTTTTGCTGTTAGGCCACATCCATCCTCCTGGCCTGCCCTTAAAGAGGTGACCAAATCCCTATTCTTAGAGCATGTCCTAATTGAAAGCTGGCTCTGAGTGCACAGTCAGCAGTCAGGGGAGGCCTCAGCACACCTCATTCCCCACCCGAGGGCAGGTGAACCCAACAGCTGTTTGCCCGAGCCCCCCCAGGAGGGGAAAGGAGCACAGGTGACTGGTAGCTGCCCCTGGAAACAACCAGTGGAGCTCCCCAAGAGGGCTGAAGACTTTTACTAGGAACCCGCAAGAACGCATGTCCAGGTACTTGTTTCTTCAAGTGCTGGGCAAAAGCGAAGAGGGACTCTCATTCTAGATCAGGGGTTGAGACATTTTAAAGTGCCAGACAGTAAATGTTTAAGATGTCGAGGGCCTCACAGAATAGTCTCTGTCACAGCTGTTCATCTCTGCTATTGTAGCATGAAAGCAGCTGTAGAACAACATGTGAATAAACAGCTGTGGCTGCTTCCCAGTAAACTTATCTCCCAAGACAGGCAGCCAGGGCAGTGTGCTAACCTTGTAGACTGGCTGGTGGACCTTCTTGCCTCGCCCCCACTATCCTGAGTATGTCCTTTTCCAGAGCCTGACCCAGCCACAGAGATGGCAGCTGAGTCACTGCCTTTCTCCTTCGGGGCACTGTCCAGCTGGGAGCTGGAAGCCTGGTATGAGGACCTGCAGGAGGTGCTGTCCTCGGATGAAAACCGGGGTGCCTATGTCTCACCCCCTGGCCACAAGGAGGTAAGAATGCTAGGCCTGATACTGGGGGAAGAGGAGGTACTGCCCTTCCCTTCTCAGCTAACTCATACCTGCCCTGCCTTATCTTCTTGAAGGAAGAATCAAAAACCTTCACCACTCTTGACCCCGCCTCTCTGGCCTGGCTTACTGAGGAGCCAGGACCACCAGAGGTCACACGCAGCTCCCAGAGCCCCTGCTCTCCAGAGTCCAGTTGGAGCTCCCTGGCTCAGGAGGAAGAGGAGGAAGACCAAGGAAGACCCAGAAAACGGAAACAGAGTGGCCAGTCCCCGGCCCGGGCTGGCAAGCAACGCATGAAGGAGAAAGAACAAGAAAATGAAAGGAAAGTGGCACAGCTAGCTGAAGAGAATGAACGGCTCAAACAGGAAATCGAGCGCCTGACCAGGGAAGTGGAGGCAACTCGCCGAGCTCTGATAGACCGGATGGTTAATCTGCACCAAGCATGAATAGCTGGGACCAGCACTTTCATTTCAGGCCACTTCTGACCCTTCCTGGAAGCAGCTACTGACCACGTCACCAATGCCAATGACACACCCCACCACCGTCAACTCAGGAGGGGAGAAGCTTCAGGTGGAGGACAGAAAAGGGCCTCCGCATGTATATGGAGATTGTACATTTATTTATTGTTGCCCACATCCATTAAAGTGACTTTGTATGATATGATAAGCTGTCACTTTCACTTCTTCTTGCCTTTAGGGGTTCCCAGGGGCTTCCCCTCAGCTAGAGCCAGCTGTTTCTTCAGGTCCAAGAGTTTAGCCACCTGTGCAGCAATTTGGTTCTTGTCCGCCTTCTGTGCCTTCAATTCCCGGACAGTGTCGCCCTGGGGGGGGGGAGCCAGTGAGACAGAGGGACCTGTTTAGGATCCAGCTCTCCCAGCTCCCCACGGCGCTTCAGCCCCGCACCTGCTTGGCCACTTCCTCCCTCAGTGCCTGGACCTGCTCCGGTCCCGCTGCTGTCTTGGGGGATGCTTTCGCCTTGAGAACAACGACAGGACAGTTAGCACCTGCTACCATAAACATCCCCTGACTTCAGGTTTGATGGAAGATCGCAGGAGCAAGTGATTACCTTTAATGCCAAGGACTCTTCTAGCTAAGACAGGAAAGAAAAAGCAAGTGAGGAAGCAGCAGGGTCAGGAGAGGACTGAGAGAGCGCTGCGGAGGGCCGTGGGGGACGGTAGGGGGTGAAGCAGCCTTTAGCCTTCTCACCTGGCCCCCACTGAAGCGCTGCTTCAGACTTTCAATCTGCTCATTTTCCAATTTTTGGAACAAGGGACTGACCTGTGAAAAAAATTACAGAATCATCCACTGATGGGGTATAATTCTTATTCGACTATAAAGAGGGCGTCTCCACCCCAGCTTCTGACATTTAGGAACTCGACATCCCAAAAGACAGGTTGAGTGTACTGCTGAGCAAAATACATGCTGATTTCAGTAAAGAATCCAGAAAAAGCACTGGCATTCATTAGGATCAGAGATTACTTAGGCTATTTAACGATGCTAAGTTGATGCAAAAGCTTACAGGAGTACATACGTATTTTATCACCTTGTCTTGAGAAAGTGGCTACCCTGTATTTTCCCTGCCCCCTGGGTTCTGGCACAAAGGACGGTGAGGACATAGGGGCTAAAGAAAATATTGGGCTGTAAACCAATACCAAGGGCTTTATATCAGAAACAAGCCTAAAGTGCAGAGTGGAGGTGAGGGTGGAATGGGTTGTGAGAACAGCTTCAAGGGTGTCACACCCAAAGTAAGTTCTTGCCTGAGCCCTCCTCCAAAGGCTGCGTGGCAAGGTAGAAATATTGAGGGACTTCCCTAGTGGTCTAGGGGTTACAACTCCATGCTTCCAACACAGGGGATGCAGGTTCAATCCCTGGCCTGGGAAGATCCCACATGCCCTGGGACAACGAAGCCCATACACAACAACTACTGAGGCCATGTGCCTAGAGCCAACAAGATAAACCACCACAGCTAGAGAGGTGCAGCTCTGCATGCCTCAGCCAGAGAAAGCCCACGTGTGGCGACAGATTCAATGTAGCCAATGAATGAATAATTTTTTAAAAAGAAATTCTGAGAGAGGCTGGCTCTTCCAACTCTCAGACCTACCGTGCCAATCTGGTGTCCTGCTGGTAAGGTGCATAGAAAGCTTGTGGGCAGGATACTGCAGGCTGGAGGTGGGAGCTGCAGCTGGGCTTGGATGGTGGCGCTAACTGTAGGCATGTAAGGCTGGAGCATGACGGAGAGCAAGGCAGCTATGTTCACAGCCAAGCCTGTCACTGTCCCTGCCCGCTGCCTGGGGAAGGAAAAATACTAGTCCAGACCTCCAAGGGAACACATCCAGCCAGTCACTTTATCTCTGCAGCCTGCGCCACCTTCTCACCCACCTGTCAGCTTCACCGCCTCTAATCCGCTTCCAAGGCTCGTTCACCTGAATGTACTGGTTGCCATGGCGAGAGATGGTGAGGACGCTACGTAAGGCATCCCGGATCCTGGGAAGGATGCAGGCCAAGGTGTAAGGTCCTGGGGGTACCAGTATGGGCTTGTCAACGTGCCAGCAGATCACGCAGTTGAGACAGAGGTGTAGATACTTACCGAACCTTCTCCAGCAGCTGGTGGTAGTGCTGGAGCTCCAGGGTGACATGGGTCAGCAGGCGCTGATCATCAGAGGTGAGCACCATCTCGGGCACAAAACCCCCAAAAAACTTGGACACAAACATCCCAGCTCTGGATGGGAGTAGGGAAGGAGAGGGGGGAGAAAAGAGTTACTGCCCAGTCTCCTTAGAGAAAATTGGACACGGTTTTCATAATTTTACATGTTCTCAGAACTGAAACCACCTGGCTCCCTCAAGCTGGAAAGCAAAACTTAACTCCTTATTTTCTCCTTCCCCTGAGAAAATGTCTGCACATGACAGCCATACTTTACATACAGGTATCCCTCATATAAGGTTTTCAGTAACCATTTGTTTTTCAGAAGTCAGTAACTTGAAATGATCAAGCTGAAATATACATTAATTGATATCAAATAAATATATTCTCTAGCAGAGACCACCTGATCATTGTGGTTAATGACCAAATCTGAAAGGGTGGGTAGCCGCAGAGGTCACTTCTTTAGATTGCAGAATAGCTGAAATAGGGAGCAATAATGGAAAGTGAGACGGAAGTAATGAAACTCCAGTCTCCTACCCCTGTGCTAAAAAAACCCCCCCTTTCAGTCAAACTTTTCAGTGGCCTGCAAGTGAACTTGCACTAGGAAAGGACATACTTCCAATAACAATAAAATAATTAGCAAAAATTCACTTTGTGACGAACTCTGCTAAATCACATTTCTACAACCAACTCCCCCCCTTACAAGCCTCCGCCCCGCCCGCTCCAGCTGTCTGCTGCCTCTCGCCCCTCACCAGATCCCACCTGTTGACGAAGTTGCCCAGGTTGTTGAGCAGCTCGGAATTATTCTTGAACAACATGTCTGTCCAGGAGAAGGCACTGTCCTGCCCCTCAGGCCGAATGTACAGCAGATAGAAGCGCCAGATGTCAGCAGGGATCCCTGTGTCCTGGGCCATGTCCCCAAACACTCCCACACCCCGGCTCTTAGAGAACTTCCCATCCTCGTAATTCAGATATTCTGGACAGAGAAGGGGAATGCCAACCATCTGTTCAAATCACACCCTTCCTCCCTGGCCCACTGACTCTTCTTTCCTCAACCTCAGCTCTAGAGTAGCTGACCTGCACAGAACTTGGGGATCCTTCCTCCCCAATCTGATCTTTCCAGTTTACTTCCACCCACTACAAAACTCAACTCTGAACTGCTGCTCTCTTCAGGTCCTTGCTTCCTTTTTCTGGGTTGAGCATCCATGTTCTAATTGTTTCCTATTTCACCTCAACCCCTAACTCAAGACCTTGCACCTCTCCAGGAACGTCGTCTTCCAAGTGCTGCCTTGGCCCTCACCCCCTGAACACCCTGTCGTCGGTCTCCCAGGGTACCTGTAGCAATGAGGTGGCTGACCAAGGTGTAGTTGTCCTCGGCTCCGAGGGCTGAAGAAGGAAAGACTATGCCATGGAAGGGAACATTGTCCTTGGCCATGAACTGATACAGGTTCACCTATCAAATGTAGTTGGGAGACAGAGCTCCTGAGAGCCTCTTGAAAGGCCTAAGAAAGACCAGGTACCCAACCCTAACCACCCTGCCGCACAGTCACCCTTCCGACGGGCAGTGGGTGCGGGTGTGCATGCTCGGTGGTGTCCAACTCTCTGTGACCCCAGGGACGACAGCCCACCAGGCTCCCCTGTCCGTGGCGTTTTCCAGGCAAGAGTACTGGAATGGGTTGCTATTTCTCCTCCAGGGGATCTTCCCAGCCTAGGGATCAAACCCGCATCTCCTACATATTCATTGGCAGGAAAATTCACCACTGTGCCACCTGGGAAACCCCATGGACAGGCTAACCAAGAACTACTCACTTGTTCTGGGTTCTTCCACCACTTCTCCCACTGGTCTGTGTAGTTGGCTGTGATGGACAGGTAGCCAATGGTGGCGTCAAACCAGACATAGAACACCTGGAGGGCCAGGAGGCAGGAGACACGGTGGATGCAAGCACAGTGGGAAACCCTGCCACCGAGTCTCAGATGGAAACAAGGCACCATCAGCGGTCTGTTCTGCTTGCCCAGGGCTTCACCCCCAAAGCGGAATCATGTGAGCTCTGAATAAAGCACAGTGTTTTTACCTTGTCCTCAAAGCCTTCTAAGGGCACAGGGGTTCCCCACTTGAGGTCTCGGGTTATGCAGCGGGGCTTGAGGCCATCTCGGAGCCAAGAGCGAGTGATGAACCGGGCGTTGGGCGTCCAGTCACTGCCAGGCAACGTCCTCTCTAGCCACTCCTCCACCCGCGCGCCCAGCTGGTAGAGAAGCACAGAGAGCTGCGTGTGTGGTCAGAACAAGCATAAACATGTACACGCTTTCTGGAGTGGTTTACTGATATATAATTAAAATCAAGGGTTCATGACTTTGCCATAGCAATTCTACTTCTTGGGATTTTTTTCAAAAAAAAATTTTCACGTAAGTGTGTATAGATGTATTTATAAGAGAACTGCACCGCTCATCACACCAAAAATTAAAACTAATTCATTTGGTTCAGTAGAATTTAAAGAACTATGGTATATCAACCAGTGAAATACTTATTAAGGCTTTTAAAAAGAGCGAGGAAGACCTGTATGTCTTGGTATGTAAAGATCTCAGAAATATATTAACTAAAGCAAACTTTGAAATAGTATTAATATAGGATATAATCCTATCATTATAAAAATAAGCAATAGTAATACACAGATTAACATAACCCCCAAAAATATATCTTAGTACTTTATTCTCACATGAGATTAGGGGGAACATCCACTTTTACACCATCTATTTCATTTTGAAATTTTAAAAACAAGTGTTTATCGCTTTTGTAAGCAGAAAAACA